ATTCACTGCTCAGCTGGTATTTAGAAGATTCCGCAGAAGTTACGAAACAGTGACTTCCACTTCAATAATGGAGGAAGTTGTGAATTTCGCCCATTTCACAAGCACTAATTTAAACTATTGAAAGGTCCTAACTTTCAGTTTAAACGTACTTAGAAGCAAATACGTCATTTGACAGTCATACATCAGTGCAAAGTGAACGTTATAAACACTTTCGTTTCGCCTGTCTCTCAGCTAGTTCTATCGATCATTTTGCCATCATGAATCACCCGTCAGCGGGATTGATCTGGTGGGGGGCACAAATCGGCAACGAACTCAGTTAAGCTGAGGCCGCAGCTATACTCACAATTTTAACTTATTTACTGCCTACTCTTTTTAACGCAGGGTATACATTATGAAATATAACTTCAATGATGCTGAGATGTTTGCAAAACTTCGGACCGCAGGTGTATGCGGTGGGGAACGAACGCGCTATTGTCCTTTCCGGTAGAGACAACCTCAGCTCAACTGGGTTCGTTGCCGACTTGGGCCCCCCAGATCAATCCCGCTGATAAATGATTGCTGATGGCAAAAATATCGGTAGAACTAGCTGAGAGATAGGCAAAATGAAGGACCTGCGTGGTGTGGTGGTGAACGCACTACTCCCCGGAAAGAACAATAACGCGTTCGTTCCCCATCGCACACAGCTGCGGCCCGGAGTTTTGCAAACATCTCAGCATCATTGAAGTTATATTTCGCAATGTATACCCTGTCGTTCAAAAGAGTAGGCAGTAAATAATAAGTTAAAGTTATAAACACTACTAGAAGAGAATTTCGCTAAGTTGATCCCAGTTCCTGTATTTCATCGTAATATGGGGAAATATAAAGTGAAGCTTTAACTAACGATAGATAGTTGTTTTAACAAACCACTAATTTGCCGACAATGCAAAGTGTGACAGACAAGGCAGGTTACAGAAATTAGGCAACGTAACCGATGTTGTCAACAGAAACTACAGCAACGTGTAAAGGGATGAAGAGCACGTATGTGTTGGCAGAACCATCGTGTTGCTTAGAAGTAGATCTTTCTCCAGTATACCTCAGATGAGAGAGGTAGACGTATGGACTCTAGTAATTAAAACTGAGCACTAGAAGCGGGTACATTTACGAAATTTTCCTATTCAGGGGTAGCGATCTCTCATTACTGGAGTTTGGGATAACTGCGTGCTGTTTGAGCTCATATCTGAGTTCCTAAATGGAAGATGGCAACTCTAGATTGTTAATTGCTAAGCGAGTTCTCTTTTGGCTGAGCACTTATTGAAGAGGGCTAAACATCATTTCAGAAGCTGCAGAAATAGAGGAATGGCTTCTCCAAACAAATCCTCAACTAGAATTTGAATATTAGTTAGTTGGTTGTGCAACAGAATTTTAGTAGTACAACGGTGTTATCAAGGAAAGATGAATATGGCGCTATTATTATGTTGTCACATTTTACGATGCGACTGTTTCCTTAACGTTATTAAAATGAGAGTTCATTAATAGCTGAACCCAGAAAAAGCTAATCGTTAACACAAATCTTCAGATGATGGTCTACTGTCCTTCATTGGAAAGGACTAGAAAGTGGTACAAGCACTTCTGTGTCTTAATGGTTCAGACACAACTTTCTTCATTCGTGTTCCAGGCACCTACGATTCTTCTCGCAATTGATCATTAAGAGCTGGTAAATGCAGGAAACTCACACAGTGTGTAACCGAGAAAACATAGTCGAATGAATTCAAAATAGATGTTTATTTTCGTTGCCTCAAAAGCGGGTTTTCTTTGAAACGTTCTAATTCTCATTTCGTAAAACAATAGCTAACTAGCGTTCAAAAAATTGAAGGCGATGTATGGGTTGTTAGGTCCTTACTGAGAAACACAATAGAAAATGCACTGTTGCACATACTTGGTTAGAAAGTTCAGTATCAAAAGTTTACATTATTCAATTGATAAATTTGGAAATAGCTAAAAAATAAGAAACAAAGTAAATTCAGTGAGTAAAAACTACTAAGAAATACATGATTTGCAGCAATAGATATGCGGCGAATAGCGCAGTGGTAGTGACGTCCGTCCTCACGAACGTAGACCTAGCTCGATGCCGCGCCAAAACAACCAAGCTTAAATATTTGCAAAACTCTGGACCGGAGGTGTCTATGGTGGGGAACGAACGCGCTATTGTCCTTTCCGGGGAGTAACGCATTCACCACCACACCATGCGGGTCCTTCGTTTCGCCTGTCTCTTTCTTTTTCGCTTAGTACCCTGCCGCGAAATTATAATAGGCAGAAAATAAAAAGGTATAACAACCAAGCTTCTTATCCCTCCGAGGTCGGGAAATTGGTACCGAATTTGTTTGGGAAAAAACCACTCCCTGTAATCCATTTGGGAACGCTCTAGGCTGGCTATCTAAGGACTCCAGAAAGAATTGCTCGACCAGCATTCTATGACATTCAAGATGAAACGAAAATCCTCAAGCAGCAATCGAAGCCACACGTAAACTTCGGAGATCTTCGTGGACAGTAGATGCGAGGAAATGAATCGAATGTGAGAAGAGAAGTGCTGGGGTCTGCACAGTAGACGTGAAGACGTATCAAATAAAATAAAAAAAAATTATGTCGATGTTATATTGTTTAGCATCATTTTATATGTTTCACATTATTATTCATCATAGTCTCAAGTTGTGTAATACTATAATAATAATCGAATTTATCCAACTAAAATTTACGTTCCTTTCACAATTCATAATTTACAAGCAGACCACTCTTTGTGTGTATAGAAGAGCACAGAGACATGAAGCGTAAAGGTTAACACAATACTCCACAGTGTTCTCATGGAGTGCACGGGAAACCTTGTTATCAAGTGTGCATTCACACATCTTAGATTGATATTTTAACATAAGAGAAAAGACCGAATATACAAGGCGTCGACATGTCGACAGACTTTCTTCTAGCGAAATGAGTTTCCGTGGAAAAGGACATGCTACGAGTGAGAACCCAGTAAGACGATTTTCATTTTCATTTCAACCTCCTATCCAATTTTTTCAATCGTTCACCTATACTTCCTTGTTTCCTTCATCGATAATTAAAGCCTCTACCAGCGAATCTATACCCGAGTTTTCATGACAATGATTGCATGATTAAATCTAAAAGCGTTTTAAAACATGAATTTTTTCAGGTGTTGTAGCAGTTCCACAGGTAATGCAGTAGCATGTTTTTCTTTACGCAATTTAACTCATACACGCGATATATGAACGCGGTGCTGCTATTCTTCTAAAGACGGATGGCGCCAATCTGTGGAAACCGAATGCAAGGAAGACGAGATCGATCCAGCTATGCTGTGTATTTCAGGAGACCTATAACCATAACGCTACACGCACTCTTATTATGAGCTTTTTGATGCCTTTCAAAATAGCAGCACCAAGTTCATATATCGAAGTAGCACCGTAAATAAATGTGTGGTAAATAAAGGAATTTAACCACTTCTATGACGCTACGAATGTGGTCAAATGCGTGATGAATTCCATTTCAACATATGTATATTCTATAGCTTATTTTTCATCCAACGACTAGAGCAGACACTCTCTATGTGTGCCCAGAAGACGATAATGAGTTTATACTTTCCAAGAAAAACCCTAAATTTTTAATGCTTTTCTGCAAAAACTAGCCACAATTAGACGGCATGACCCTGTTGAGAGGGCTGGATATACTCTAGAGTAGTTGTCAGTCACTGTATGAGTGGAGTTAGGACTTAAATGTTAAGAACAACCCCGAACAACTTTATATGGAAATGCTTTTCTGCAAAAACTAGCCACAATTAGACGGCATGACCCTGTTGAGAGGGCTGGATATACTCTAGAGTAGTTGTCAGTCACTGTATGAGTGGAGTTAGGACTTAAATGTTAAGAACAACCCTGAACAACTTTATATGGACTTCTTTTTCACGTAACTACAGGTTTTTTGACGAGAAAACTTTTAAGATACAAGTGGTATGCATGCAAATACGTCCGCGCAATTGTGTTAGATGTGATTAGGTGCATGTGGATTAGTGAAAATCTAAGTCAATTCTGCTTGGCGAAAGGTAGGTATAAAGAGATTATTACTTAAATTCATGTGGGTTTTAAAGCACATGATCGATTGTGTGTCTCGTTCAACCTCATCTCCTCCATTTGGTGAGGCTAAAATAGCTTCGAGACAAACGTAGGTTGAGATCACCCGATTTCATCATGATTCGTGGAGAACCACGACTGGAATTATCGTACTGAAACGCTGAGAGAAAAATTTTTTAGCGGAGAACTGAACATATCATATGACTCATTTCGCAATTGCAATTGGTATTCAATGATAGCTATGGCTGAAAGGAATTCGACAACATGTGCAAAATTAAATAACTTTGCTGAAGACAATTTCCCTTATCAGCGACTACTACGCTAAAAATTTAAATGTATTTCATGCGAAAATACAGGTCCAATAGGAGTAGTAGTGGATCAAAGCTCGACAAAGGTGGTCGTCAACAAAATATCTAAAACAAATACGGAAAATGTAGCATCTTCCGCGCAGTATACTCTACTTCAGAAACGATAAGAATAAATCTGCAGGTGCATTAAACGGATGATGGAATTTCTACCTTAGGATCATTGTCGTTTTAATTCTACAGCTCGTGTTGAATTTGCCTGAACACAAAATTCTGTTCATCGCATACAAAGTGTGTTTTGGAATTATACGTTAGGAAATTCGACATTGTCGATATGACATTTCCAGAGAATCGACGACTCACTCAAATCATCGCTGTCGATGGTTCATTATGTGTAAACGTGGTGATGTTTCTCTATGTTGAATCACAGGCACTGTTGACGTCGGTAAAAATGATTCAGATGCTCTTCAGAGCTATAGTGTGAGTGCACCACTTCCAGTGCATCACTTCCACGCACCGGCTTCATATCTATCCAGTGCGGAACATCGTTTTTTATTTAGCAGACTTTTTTTCAATCGAAAAAATGAGCTATTCCTCACGCTACACGAATTCATACAGCAGCCGTTATGGTGATAACTCTTCTTCACGTTATGGTGATGATTCGACAAGCCGCTATGATAGAGATTCAATGAAAAACTATACCTCGTCTTATTCCTCATCCCGTTATGGAGATTATTCAAGTCGCTACGATGCAAAGGACAACGACTACTTAAGCAGACGAGGAACGTACTCATCTCGAAGATTACGTAAGTATGATATGTAGTTTGTTTGGAAGTGATTTTTGCAAAAGTATTTGACATCCACTTCTGAAACCAACTCTTCTATCCTATTGATGGTATAAAAGCAATTTTATCGATTTCCTGTTTTCCATTAAACTTTCAATATGTAGTATTATTAATCAAACAAGAAAGTTGACCATTTTGAATAACAGGGACCACAAAGCTATCAAAATCTGATTTACCAGCTATTACTTTGGTCGGAGGACGAACTAAACAAAGACGATTTTCTTCGGCACAATAGTCGAAAACTTAACAAAGTGAAAACCAAATGATGCAATTCCAGCATTTATGGCTTAAATTATCTTTGTTATTGCTGTTAAAGAAACGTTTGATGAACCGGACGAAGAAGATCAACGAGTAACGGTTGAAAAAGTGGACATTGAGGACATTGAAAACGCGAAATACTGTGAGTTAAAAGCTGCTTTTGATTCATAACGATTCCTAACTGGTGTCAGAATACGCTCATATCATTTCAACAGGAATGCGTTTTTATAGGCGCATGGTTCTAGTTTTATAAGACGCATTTTATCACGATTTTCCTCTTATCTGTAACGAATTGAACAAGACAACTATAGTCTTATCATTTCCTTCGATATTCTCCACTCGTTGACAGTTGCTGCCTGCTTGTTCCCAAAAGATTGCTTTCTTAAGAATTGCGATTACAGTTGCCCAGTCAGATAAAGCTGAGGAAACAGAGCAATGTGAAGAGAACCCAGTCTTAGAAGTCGCTGAGAATGAGAACGTCGACGATGAGGAAGAAGAAGTGCTTCCACTGACACGTAGAATCCAGAATAGCGAAGAGGTACACAGCGAGAGTTTCGCTTATTCCTAAATGTGATTTACGGCTGCTCTGGCGACAAAATCTTTCCAAATGCCAACAGAAAGCAAAAATTAGCGAAACGCCATTTAAAAAAGTGTCCGACATTGATAAAACTCTATGGGATGCACCGTACATCCGAGATCATTTGTAGCATTGTAGAAACCACTTAATGGATGCCTGGATACCTAGCCAATGCACTGACTTCCTGTGGCTTACGGATGAGCGAAATCAGTGTTTTACCTTCCTGCGTAAATCTGGTACTAATTTACCCACCGCGGAAAAATGGAACCTCTGGAAAACCAGAAGCGGTAATCGAACCATTGACCGACACCGAGTATATTGCTAAGCACTTCTATACACTACGTCACACTTAACCCCAATAATGCCATTATCATTAGAAAAATAAAGAGCTGTTTCTGTGTTTGAGAGACAGTAAGACAGCTTTTGAAATATGCGTCTTTCTAAGTATTACATCTTCAGAAGTAAGTAGCCCACCATTTCTTCATTTATGCTGGCAGTCCAAAGGTCAAAATCCTTGGTATAAGTCAGACTGTGGAATATTTGTCTTTGTTTCTTCAAACTAAAATCGCAAGTAAATCTCGAATTTCAGCCAATTTTTAGGATAAAAAAATCACCTATATTCTTTTCGGAAAAACAGAAACCGTTGATAAACTAAATGCAAAATGAAGTCGTACGACAACTGGTTTAATATTTTCACCGGAACCTGCGACCTTTTTCGTCAACGAAAACTACCTAGAATACCTAGAATAACCTAGAACCTTTACCTTTACCTAGAATAAGTTACGCAGTAAATAGTAAAGTTTACGATATTTAAGCAAGCAGAAGCTGAGGAATTCGTCGTCACAAGCCCAACTCTTGCGTTGACAGCATCGTCACCATCACCTACCCAGTCTGTTGAAGAACGAGACTCAATCACTCCGACATATCAAAAGGCGACTACAAAAGTTTGACATTTTGTGACAAGTGATATGATTGGATGTTATTCACGTTGCAAAAGAAAGCGGTTTTCCAACCGCTATTTTACATAAACTAATCCAGAGTCCATTAAAAGACGGAAATATTGCACTGAATACTGCATGGTTACACACTGCATGGTTAAGCATTATCAAAATGTCTCACTTTTTTCGTTTTTCTCTTAAAATGACAAACTTCTTCTGCAAAAAAAGAGAGTACTGCTAAGAGTTAATAGTGTAAGGATGAAAAAATTCTAGCTGTAAATAGTTTCATACGGTTATAGTGTTGTTGTGTATAGGTTTTTTTAATCGTAATAGTCTACGAACCAATTAGCAGTGGCTTTGGGGTATGACAACTACTTTTAAAGCTTCTTAAAGACTAATAAGGTCTGAACCGGTAATTGTTAATGCGTGTTTCTCGCTTCATTGAAATGCTCGACAAACACGAAAGCAGCTATGCACAAATTTTTCAGGGAAAACTGACGACATCATCGGAACATGTTGGACCTCCAGTCACCAAGGTTTTCAACGACGACTCAATTCCTAAAAGTGAGCTTTATTAATACCTTAAATAGTTGACTTTTGGAAAACATTTATTACCTGAAACGATAAAAATAAAAGGATAAAGCTCCCGGCGTTAGTGAATCTCTGAGGGATCCGCCATGCATTCGATTTCATTAAGCATCGTTTGGAGGTTATTGAATGCATACCTGGTGTTTGCAATAACTCGCGGTGGGCTGCCGATGTATCGAGCCAATGCTGCTATGCTACCAGACAATTCTAGTACCAATTTGCCGACCCCGGAGGGTTGGAAAGCTTGGTGTGCTCTGGTCGTGGGGATCGGTTCCACGTGTGTGTTACAGGGCGCATCCGACCACAGCACCAAAGGCGCCCTTCACTGAAACGATGCGTCACTAAATAGATTAAATTACAATAATTACAGCATATTTCTGAAAAAATCGTAGAAAAGTTTAAGTACCTGCTTTTTTACACAATTAAGCCGAAGATTTAGAGACTTATGCCAATAAAAATTTATTCGTAAGTGCAATTTAGAGAAAGTTTCTGATTTAATCGCAAAGTTCAACGCTAAATGTGAAGTGGACAATAGTCAAAATCACGCAGATGGATGGAAGCAAAAACACGGTAAGAAAAAATTGTGATTTTGAATTTTTCAACCACAACGTTGCTGAGATATTTGAAAAACTTTGGACCGCAGGTGTCTATGGTGGGGAACGAACGCGCTATTGTCCTTTCCGGGAAGTAACGCGTTCACCACCACCACCATGCGGGTCCTTTGTTTTGCCTTTTTCTCAGCTATTTCTATCGATCTTATCTATCGATTTCTAAAAGGTATAACATTATGATTTCAACTACAGCCGCGGCTTAACTGGGTTCTATGCCGATTTGGGCGCCCTAGATCAATCCCGCTGACGGGTGATTGCTGTGGCAAAGCATTGTTTGATTTGATGTTTCGCCCATTAGATTTGTTTTTTAGGGAAGCTTAAAGTGAAATTGTTAAGTTTCAGAATTCGGAGGCAAGACGGTGGGAAAAATTCAGTCGACGATGTTTCATTGAAGAGACTGAACCAACACGACAACCATCTTAACACTTTTTTTGCACACTCTCGAAACAATACTTTTAACAAATTATACGTGTTATGATGTTATTAGGCTTCTAACTGTCGTAGCTTCGTCGAAGACTTTTTGGGAATGCTTTTTAGAAGAATGAAAATAAAGATTCATTTTCATTTCAAGGTGTTCCTCATTTGTTTTTAAATAAAATGGAATTTTAGTAAAGGATAACAATGCTGTGGACAAAATCGATATTGGAAAGTTGGAAACGTTCCACGAAACGAAACGATGGGTGAAACTGTGTCTTTACATAACATGTCCAGTCGATCTAATACAATAAGAGAAGTCGTTTTCTTTCTCAGTAATCTCTGGGTTGTCATGCAGCATGCGTTTTCTTCCGAGCAAAAATACGTGCAATACAACGGCAGCTGACGTCTCGGCAGTATCGCCTTCTTCAGAGCCTGGAATGGCATAGTGGTACACAATTTGCTACCACAAGCGCTTCGATAACCAGCAATGGAAGTGTAACGTATTAGTTTCTATAAGTTTTTTGAAAACAAATCGTAATTGGCCTGCAAGTGAATCTGACCTAAACCTCTTCCAGGACTTTTTTAATTAGCTGCATTCATCAGCGCCATTCGTGAACTCAGTAGTGTAAGTAATATATTGACCACATTGCTTAACTTGTATTTCGATTAGATAAAGTGCTCTAAACTCTGCAACCCAACTGGGAACGCTCCAGCCCAGCTTTCTCAGGACTCCAGCGAGAAATGCTCGGCCAACATTCTACAACATTCAAGTTGAAATGGAAATCCTCAAGCAGCGACCGAAGTCACACGTAAAAGTTGGGAGATCTTTGTGGATATTGGATGCGAGGAAACGAATCGAATGTGAGAAGTGCTGGGAGCCGCACAGTAACATGAAAACGGGTGACATAAAATAAAAAAAGTGCTTTAAACACGTGCTTATGAGATCTAAAAAATCGGTTACAGACCAAGTTTTTCTTTTTGCCTTAAAGTTGGAGTAACCGAAGTAGAGAAAAACATATCCACTCAAATTCTCTTGCGAATAATCGAAAGCTAGTTTTCGAAACGCTACCATTCGTCACACTTCACCAGCATTAGGAGTGTGAAAGTGAGAAGAAGCAGCAATGAAAAAAAGCAGTAATTCTTTTAAGTGAAAATTACAACAAATTTCTGGATTCGATACCAAGTCTGTACATTTGTGAATACTGCCTGTGAATACTTTTAGGTAGTTTTTCATACAGTTTTCTTCATTACAGACTTCTGCATTCCAAAAATAATTGCAAAATTACGAGTTGTCAAAGATAGTGCGATCGATCAAAGGTTTTCGTTCGATTTTATGCATGCAAAACACAACTACGTTCTGAATAGCACTAAGCTAATGATGTATACCTTCAATTTACTGTCTACTACAATTTTCGTAGCAAAATATTATGCAAAGTCAACCACAACGATGCTAGCTGAGAGAAGAGCAAATCGAGGGCCTCCGTGGCGCAGTGTGTAATGCGCAAGCCCTCGGAAAGGAAAGTTCAGCTTCGATCAGACCCGGAGTCTACGTTTTAGGAATATCTCAGCATCTTTGTGGTTGGTTTCGCACTATTGATGTAGTTTTCCAGAATGTATAACAGTTGCATAAGAACTACAAGATATATGACAACCAGATGAAGGTTTGAGACTCTTTGATGGGATGATGGCGACTAGAGCAGATTTTTTGACGGACGGATTGTTAAATATATTCGTGTGCCTTCAAACTAGGCTACGATTTGAATTGTTGTGTGTCACCAATTCGAAGCATTTGTTTGGTTCACGCACAATATGTTGTACGCTTATAGATTTAGTGTGGTTTGGCGTCTGATATCCACTAAAAGTCGAACGAATCGGAAAATAATCGTAATCTGAGCGCAGGAGAGCAGCAGTGTGACGAGGCTGCACGCTCTGCTGATCGTCTACAAGCCGATAGAACCGACAATAGCTGAAAACACAACAAGCAACCCCACTCTGTGTTTTAATATTGATAATTTCTGTTTGTTTCAACTGTATTTACAGTTTAGCCTTCTTTATGAAGAAATATTATGTGAAATACAACCACAACGATGCTGAGATATGAACAAATCCCCGAATCTCAATGACATTTTAATCCCGCAATTACGCCTTCTGAGGGTTCACGTGTTACCCATTGCACCATTGAGGCCCTTGTTTTTCCTTTCACTCAGCCAGTTTTTTATATCTTAACGATCCCTTCAGCAATCGCCCGTCAGCGGGAACGATTTTGGGGACAAAAATCGGCATTGGACTCTGTGTAACTGAAACTGCAGTCGAAATCACAATGTTCTAACTTTATTTGCTGCCAGTACTTTCTTTCATAGTCAGCAACATTGTGGTTCTATCCGTTTCTCTCAAATGGTATCAGGATCTTCTTAATCAGATAAAGTGGAAAATTGTAAAGAAAGAGAACCGTCCAAAATTTTTTTGGTTATTGACGTTAACTGTTACTCTGAACAACATCCCAATATTGTCACCTGTATTGTTCATCCTCTCGTTGATCTTCGACCGATTTGAGGATGTAGCTCTGTTAGCCGAGGTCAAGCGTCAGAGTTAGCCTGAGTGCAACCGATCTCTTGAGCACTGCGATGCAGTTATACAAACATTTTCACCAATTCGTCGTATTTTTTATAATGTCTTCTAACTTTTCGCTGTTCTTGATAACAAGGTGCTCAGGAGTGGCTCTTGAGGTTCTGCCGAAGTGGCGGTGAAGACATGGCACCATGTTAAGCTGTCTCGGAACAGTAGTTCTACTGACCTGTTAGATGAGCCTGTAAGAAATCTTCCATGTTACCTATTTATGGCCTATTAACTTATCATTTCCAATAGAAGAACCGGCAGAAAAGAATGCGCAGTCACACTCAAAAAGCCAATTCAGCATAAAAAACATATATGGAGCACGTCTATTGAATCCCCTTGCCTCTCAAACGCATCTACATGGTGGGGTTTTCTCACTTTTTAGTTGCCCGTTTTTTTTCTCCTTTATTCCATCTACTGTATAGAAAAGCGCCGCCTAGCTTTGCGGCTAACCGGCTCAAGATCCCTCACATAAAAGAGATCCGTGAAATGGAAACCCGATCTTTTTTTCTATTCCTGCCAATAAGTAGTAGCCAAAGACGACACCTCATAAACTTCTACAGCCAATTTGTGCTTTTTAAATTTGTTTTATTAAATTACTAACAGTTTGCGAACTAGTTGTGTAATCACAAAGTTTTATTTTGTTGAAATTTGAGCTATCAGCACAAGTCAATAGCAGTAATTTGAACAATGGACTCTAGAAGAAAGTTGAATTAAAAGCAATAGGATTGCATCTGCTTTCTTTTATAACAGGTTTATTGATTTATCTTCAAATGGCAAAAA